TGCGTCGGTGGTATAGTGGTGAGCATAGCTGCCCTCCAGCCCCTCGCTCGCTCTCATGCCACGCACTGCCTCTCCCTCCGTGGTCTGCGGCCGATCGTCACTGTCTCTTGTTTTCGAAGGAAGCAGAAGGGAGGAAGCCATTGAACAAACTTAACACATGACCCCGGGCGTCCTCTCATCCTCTGCCCCTGACCTAGGCCCTGCCCTGTTCACTGCCACCCAGTCAGGACTCTTGACTGCATGTGACAGAAAACCGGCTCCCGCTCTGTGTAGAAAAACAGAAAGGGAGTGTGCTTTCGGGTCCGAGGAGTGGCTCATGTGCGGCAAGAGCCCTCCTCATGTCCTCAGGACTTGGTCTTACCTTGTCACCTCCATAGCTGGCTCTTCTTCCTCCTCTGTCAGCCCACCCTGGGCAGGCCATCCACCCTGAGGGAGGCAGACCCAAGCGGCATCCACCCTGTGGTCGAGGTCCATATGTGGACTGAAGGGGGACATGAAGCGGGGCCCCCTGTGGGGCAGCGGAAGGAGTGACACATCCCTTCCACTCTCCCAGCAGCCAAATCCTCCATCTGCCCCGGAAAGGGGCGGGGGGGGGGGGTGTTGCTGAGGAGTGACCAGGGACCTGTGACCTTCCCAGAGACCACTCCGAGGGCAGGCGGGAAATGGAATCCAGCCTCCAGCTCATCCCTTCTCTGTGGCTTCCTACCTTTTGAACACTGCACCCCACCAGAGACTAAGTCATGGGCTGTATGGCTGGCTGTGGACTTGGTTAGACACAGGCCCTCTTGGGCGTGCTCCCAGAATGATGGCTCCAGGCTGGGATCAAAGAGAGACCAGGAGAGTCTCCGTGTGGATTTGAGGCTCAGTTCAGAGTGGCCAGAAGGGACCTTAAGGATCAACTGAATTCTTTCACACACAAGGAAATGGAAGCTCTGGTTTTTCCAGTAACTGTTTGCACTTGCTGCCTTCATGCCGCAGCCTGGGCTAGGCAGACCCAAGCCCAGCCAGCACACTGTGCGGACAGGGACCCGGGTGGGTCTGGGGCACTGTTAGAAGGAGGAGCTCAGGCTAGCCCCGCCGGCGGTAAGGGTCAAAGATTCACTGTCCACAAGGTCCTTTCCATGACTGTTCCTGGAGCGTGTGCGGTCTGCCAGGCCCCACGCCAGCCCCGGGCACACGAGAGCCCGAGAGCCCACCCCTCCCTTCACCGAGGGGGCAGTCAGTCTAGTGACATTGGCAGACAGGTGACAAGTGACCAAGAAATGTGTGCCCTGGTGTTGTGACTCGAGCTCTGGAGGAAACAGTGGCGGGGGTGGGGGGGGCGGTCCTCAGGTTTGGGCTTATGTTAAAGGGGGTACCCCACAGCTTCAGCGGAGCCAAAAAGCTGTGACCTGGATCTGATATTTTCTCGAAGCATAAAAGTGCCCTAATTTTCCCTCTCCTCAGGCTCAGCTGAAGCTACGCCAAGAATTGGCTTTTAAAGGCTGCCTGAAATGTGGTCTGCAGCCAAAAATCTATAGAGCCAGTGCGTTTGTGACCTTGTTGAAAATGCTTACTGAGGAAAACCAAGGGGGTAGGGTTTGGGATTTTTTTCCTTTTTAAAATTAAAAAAAAAAAAATCAATTTGGCCCTCCTCACCCCATCCCTTTTTCCTCTTGGCACATTCCCTCCCCAGAATGCCTGAGTCCTCCAGCCCCACTGAGCTCATCTCTTCCATTTGTCCACACCTCCCCCATTCCCCAATCCCGCTCCATCCCCCCCCCGCCCCCCATGCTTCAGGAATGAAAAATACCAAGTGGGTTAAAATAAGGAGCCTGGGTATAGCCCTGGAAATTAGGCCACAGCTGTCAGGCCAGGCAAGAGTCCTCTCTCTGAGAATGGAAATGCCTGGAGCAAGCACTCGGCCCCTCCCCTATGAGGACAGATAAGAGTCTCTTCCCTAGCACTGCCCCCACTTCCCCAGGGTCTGGCCAGGAAATGCCATTTGTCATTGAGCAGACCTGTCTTAGTGCCCACTGGCGGGAACACCGCAGTGGACAGAGCTGGTCCCTACGCTCCCGGGGTCAATCACAAACACCAGCAGCAGTGGTGGTCTTTGGGAGCAGATGAGGTGGGGGTAATGCCCAGTCCCCATGGAAGGGGCCAGGAAAGTTTCAGGAAAGAGATGCTGTCTAACTTAGCCATGAAAGATAAGTAGGGACTGGGTGGGGTTGGGGAGGAGAAGGTGTTTCTGATGAAGCCAGCAGTCTGCTCAGAAGCCTGCTGTGGGCCTGGGGGCTTGTGCCCTGGCACCCCAGG